TTCCCCTTTGCGTCACACGAGAAGTACGGTTACACTCTTGAGTACGCGGAGAAAGAATTGAAGGTATGTCTCGCTGCTCCCATGTCGTCAACGAGAACTCATTTCGATTTGGTATGGACAGGCTGCTGGTGATCTCGCGAAGAAGTATGGGCACAGGCTGACAACACATCCCGGCCAAGTAAGTTGTCGACACTGTGGTTGAACTGCGACGCTAATGCCACCTGTTGTAGTTCACACAGCTTGGTTCTCCCAGAGAGGTCGTAGTGGACGCTGCTATACGGGACTTGCAATGTGAGGCACAACACATTGACACCTCTCATTGCGACTCTGACACTCCGTCAGATCATTGTCAAATGTTTCGATTGATGGGACTCGGGAAAGACAGTGTCATGATCATCCACATGGGTGTAAGCCATTCTCATTTCATATCCCATGTCCGACTAACAACAGTACCAGGGCATGTTTGGTGACAAGCCAGCCACTATCGAGCGGTTCAAAAACGTTTACCGAACCAGGCTGACAGACGAGATTCGCGAACGGTTGGTCCTCGAGAATGACGAGATGTGTTACAATCCGGATGACTTGCTCCCTGTATGCGAGGAACTCAACATCCCGCTAGTGGTGAGCACGCTCTTCCGTTTAGGTTCGCGCTTTGCTCATCATGGCTATCCAGTTCGATTATCACCACAATTGGATATATGTACGTGCCTTCATATGCCCAATGCACGACGTGATTCTCCGCTAACGTTCCCTCCTATAGCCCTCTGAGAAGCCTCTACCCGAGCTCATAGAGCGCATCAATGCGATTTGGCATCGCAAGGGAATCAAGCCGAAGCAGCATCTCTCCGAACCCTGTCCGGGCGCTGAGACTGTCATGGAGAAACGGAAGCATGCCGACCGCTGCAAGAGCCTCCCGGAGGACCTGCCGGAAGACATGGATCTGATGATCGAGGTGAGTGCACTATGACATACAGACGGACCCGGTTCTGACGATTGCACAGGCCAAGGACAAGGAGCAAGCCGTCTTTCACTTGTACAGGGTATACAGCTTGCACCCGGTCATCCATGAGAATCTGCGCCCGGAGAAGCCGCCGAAGCCGTTCCCCCGCGCAAGTCAAGGCAATGAGGTTGACGGTGAAGGAGAGGCCCCTTCGAGCCCACGCAAACGCAGGGCACGGGCCAAGGCGCCGAAGGTCGAGGAGGAAGCCGATGGTGCGTATTCTCCGAGGATGCGTTCGCAGTTCATGCTTGACGAGTACTTCATTGTAGAAACTCTTGAGGTGCTGGAGACCGGTGTCGCCGAGGAGCCTAAGGACCTTGAAGACACTGCCGAGCCGGAAGTTCCCCTTCCAGCCACTCCCAAGAAGAAGACAGCGAAGCAGAAGACACCTCGCAAGAGCCCGAAGAAGCGCGTCTCTGTCGCTGTCGAAGTTGAGGGGTCCATCAGCTTGAACCAGGTCCTGATAGAGGCCCCGGGTGACGAGTCGGATCGCCTGGACGAGGACAATACAGGTAAAGTGTTACTGGTCTTGTCCACCCACTCGAGGAGCTGATGTGTCGCGTCTCGAGGTGCAGTCGGGCAGGACTCCAAGGACGATATCGAGGTAGATGGTATGCTTGCAAACTGAAGTCTCCCGCGGGAGCTACGATATAGTATCGGTGTGTATAGTGATTCTGATATCCTCAATATCGTCGCTCCCTTCCCGTCCATGTATCTTCTATCCTTCAAATGTTCAGAAATGTTCGCTACTGCGACACAGCGGTGCCGTGGTGAGCATGTACATCCCGACCACGACAATCTCGCGGCGTCGTCGAGTTGTATGAGTGCGGCGGCTGGGAGAAAGCCTAAAAGGTGGACGACGCGGACCAGCCGAGCCAAAGCCGAGCTGACTCGTCTCGAAAGTCATACGCGGTAGTCCACCACATACTCCCGGATGTACCCTCCGCATAATCGACTTTGGGCGCGGGAAGTGCTGGGAATGGGAGCTCAAGGAGGGCGACGACGTCGAGAAGCGGAGGTTCGAGTTCGCGAGGCGGATAGGGGACGAGGTCGCGCGTGCCCGGAGCGAGTTGCTCAATGAGAACTTTGGGTTCCAAGCAATGCGTGACGCTCTTGTAGCACGCATACTTTAGCCTCGTGTGCTTCCACGGTGCACCGCGTACCGCTCGAAGAAGAGAGGAAGAGGGAGATCGCTGCTGAATCCTGACACTTGTAACTAGGAAGAAACTGCCGTGACAGTTCAGGCTGCTACTCGTAACTCGGCCATGTTAAATATCCAAGAAAGACAATGCACCAATGACGAAGTAAATAAATACAGAGAGAACGGACGGACTACGCATCTAGGGTATACATGGCGATAGTCAAAGCTCGATCCCCCCGGGAGACTAGTACGCGGAAGACGACGATGCAGCGGCCTGAGACTCCGGCTGAGCCCGGCCTTCTTCCTCCCCGGCCTCAGGGGGCGAGCGAACTTGCAACTCCATCTCAAAGCCATCGTCATCGGACCGTGCCGAAAGGTCCGGATTGATGAAGCCTCCAAGGGACGAGATGAAGGATGGCGTGCTGTCCCAAGGGTTCCTCGATGAATGCAACGGATCGTCGCGGTCGAGTCTGACGGTCATCTGGCTCGCTTCTTGCAGTGCGAGGAGGAAGCGCGAGATGAGGATGACGGTGATGCTACCAGGATTGGTGAGGACAAATATTCACGGAAAGGTACTGGTGGAACACATACGGGCCGGTGAATGCAGTAATGACACTGATCCCGCTACTGCCATCGCCCGCAACCTGTGGAGAGGAGCATGTTATTGGACATGCAGATTTGGAAAGCACCAGTGGACAGGTCATGTGGCTTACCGCAGTCGCCGTGAAGACAAGGTGTAGAACATTCAATGCGAACAGAACGCTAGTGATTCCCATCCGCGATCAAGAGTCAGATGAGGTTCCACGGCCTTTTGCTTCTGCATACATGAAATATATGGTTCCTGTCCACGGAGTCATGCATTAGTAACAGTGAGCATGTTACTGATATAGAGGCATACCGCCGTGAAAGAGAATATCCGATAGCGAAAGTCTCTTGGAGAATCGGATATCCCTCAGGGCGCTCCAACTGTTCAGCTTTGTCCAAGTGATATAGATGAGTAGCATGTCGGCGACGATGAGCGGCACTCGAGACATGATCACGACTGCGGTTCCATGAATGAGCAAGTGCTTTGCATATGATTGTTGGCTAACCTACGCCTTGTACAACAAAATCAGTACCAATGTAGGTGATGTCAGTGGTTGGCATTGAACGCAAACCTAAGGGTGAGTGTGGCACTGATGCTGTCTGTCTCGAGGCATCCAAACGGCGGGAAGTTCAATCCAGAGGGGTGTTGGCCATATTCAACCTGTATCATCGTCCAATCTGCATCTGTTCACTTGTTACGAACTCTGATCCACTCACCAGATTAGCACCCACTGGCGCCAGAGACAAAGCAAGGACTATGAATCCAATTGGCTTGCTCCTGCTCAAGACAAATGCACGGAGGGCGGAAAAGACTCATTGAAAGTGTCAGGCAAGTACTCCTACGGACTGGAAGTGTGACTCACCTGCCCCAGGGACTAACTGCAGTATGGGTAATGCGCGCATCGCCAGCCCGAACAAGGAACAACTGCGGACGTCAACAGTCATCCCGCACTGCTTCAATGTATGTCAGACTACTGGGTCGCACCAACCTCTGATTTCGGTCAGACTCTGCCATGGCACGGAAGGCTAAATTTACGTACCTTATCCGAACGGAAAGATGCAAACTCGACCGAAGACATGACATAGAGTGTCATAGACACCCATTTGTTCGCGAAGAACAAGAGTGACGCTCCAGTCCACTTGGTGTTCCAGAAGCACGCCACATCTCGATCAAACGTGATCAAGGCGTCGAAGATGAAGACAACTATGGCGAGAGAAAGCGTTTTTCAGTTGTAAGAAATGTCATTGTGGCACTCTGAATGGAGTAAACGCACCTGCGGATGCCACATTGCAGTAGGCGCCGTTATAGCTGGACGGCGGCATGAGCAAGCGCTATCCGTGACGAGCTGACCTGGCACTACGCAACGTACAGGCTGTCATATAGCTCGATTGTCGCAACAGCAGCGGCATCTGCGTCGGAGGACATGTTGAAGTCGAAGAAGGAGGGGCGAGGGGTATTGCGATGCCATCCATGGCACAATCAGCCCTTATATCGTGTACGACTTGTACGGTCAGCATAGAGGATGGCGACCATCTTGACGCATCCAACCCGATCGCATCGAGTCGGATAGAAGCATCGTGCGAGCACGAGGCGATCCTGTTTGCGAACACTCGCCGTGCTTGGACTCGGACTGGACTACGTTGTGAGGCCTGTATAGGGATTGCAGTCAATCACGCAGTTCGCAGATGGACCAATCTGAAGGTGATATGAATGGTCAGCCACTGTGGCCGATGTCCAGAAGGCGAACATGAACCCCAGCTCACCTTGAGTTTGCGCCCATGTATGATGCACAGGCGACCGAAGCGAAGACCGGCGCGAGCGTGAGGCGGTCAGTGCCTCGATGAGCAGGTATCTCACATCCCGAACCTGAACGTTAACCTGCTAACATCGGCACAACTAGATAGATTTGAACAACTCAGTTGGTTGTCTGCTGAACTGAGGATTCGGTACAACCATCAGTACGACCAGGGGGAAGATCGTGAGACAGAGAGCAACTGACCTTCGTGAGGCTGCCAAACTTGACTCAAACCAGTAGGCTGGGTGCCGCAGAGGGGTGCCGTAAGAACTGCGGAGTTCGGTATGTTGGCTGTGAGGAATGGTCGGACACTGAACTGGTCAGCGCTTCAAACCTGACCCCGAGGAATGCATCCTCGTGAGTCGTCGTTCTCGCAAGCTTGCACATAATCGGAGACGACACATTTGCTCCGAAAGAGAGTCGTGATTGACGAACCATCGTCCGCGAACTCCAACCCAAAAAGCGCGTACCATATATACTGCCCCAGTGAGGCTCGAACTCACGACCTTCCGATTGCGGGAAGTAACAGTCGGACGCTGTGACCAACTCAGCCATGGGGCATATACATTAGCGACCTAGCAGTCTCCTTGAGCATATCGTCCCCACTTCCAACGAGGCCAGCTTGCACAGTAACAGTAACACTAGCTTACTGCGGACCGTGGAACCTTGAAGCAAACGTAAGGTACCGGCGCACGATAGATGAAATATTGTATGAACAAGATCGCTGTAGCAGGACCAACTGGCATTGGATATACGATTAAGCATCAGCTATCGGACGACGGCGGTGTACATCTCAGACGCAAGCTGAGACAATAACTACTTAGTTCAAGCTACGGTATATTTGATGGGTAATAATCGTGAGTGTGATGACTCCGTGCTTGCAGCTGGAGCACCGTTTGGCCTAAGCAGATCGTGGTTGTGGTTGGTTGTAGTGCGCGATGCAGGAGACTCGAGAGTGTGTTGTCGAAGCGGAAGGAGCGGCGCCTCTACTGACTAGTATACAGAAGGTCAAAAGCAGGGATACAGAGCAAATTGGTCATGATGGGTAATAGATAGATAGATAGCAAGGTATGATGCGTGCGATGATGCGAGGGATGACAATGAGCGACGAAAATGCAAGGGGGTGGGCAGCGAGTTGCGAAGTGGAAAAGAACGCTCAGGCGTCCTGGATGTCGATCTTGACAAAGAGCGTTGAGAAGAGGTACTGCGAGAGCTGCGCGTCGTGCAGCGGGAGATGGCGGTATCCTAGAGGGGCGTAAAAGATCACCAACTGCGACAACAGGCGACAATTCAAACGAACACATACCAAGGTTTAGACTTCCCAAGCTGGCGCAGTACACGGCAAGGGGCTCGTCGTCCTCCTTGTCCTCCTGCTTGACCGAGAAGCGCACAAACACCAGATCCTTCATGTCCCCGACGAGGTCATACGGCAGACAGATCTGCTGCTCCCACACCGGGTTGAACCCGTTGTTCTTCACCACACCCGTCTTGCACGTCACCGTGCGCGCCGAGGTCGCAGCGACCGTGTTCCCCGCCGTCGGGGGCGAGTACGCGTCGGCGGTCGCATCGGGCAGGAACGGCGAGTGCGTCCAGTCGGGGATGTGGATGGACACCTCGACGAAGGGATCGATGACGGACTTGTCGATGATCTCCCGCCCTTGCGAGTCCTTCGGGCGCGGCAGCTGTTGTGCGGAGATGATCTGCCGAGCGACGCGAGGTTAGGATCGCAAGTATCTAGTACTGAGAGCGAGTGGTCGCGTACCGTGATGTTCAGAAAGTGCTTTGTCCGCTTGGACAGCAGCTGCTTGTCATTGATGCGGAGCGCGAGCGGCTTGAGCACGTATCCCGCCCGCCCGTTCCGCTGGAACATCGCATGGTTGATCATGTACCCCAAGTCTTCACAGCACAGAAAGCCTCAGCACCACATTCCCGACGAGTCGGACGGAGAAGGACGCCACTCACCAAACGTCTGCCAGTTTAGCGCGACGAGCTGGCATCCTGCCGACCAGTACCGGTGTGGCTCATAGTTCGTGGAGCCAATCCGCGTGCCTTTCGGGTACGTCCTGACAAGATGGGTCCGGTTGTGCTTGATGAGGTCCATCATGCCCTCCTTGAGCAGCTTGTTCGCCGTCTTCTCGGAGAGCGAAAACACGTGCTCCGGAGCGTACTCCTCCTTCTTGTTCAGCCCCCGGCACTTGACACCCACCGTGTACACGAGCAGCGACACGAGGTCCATCGACATCTTCACCTTTGGCGCCTGGGACACCGGTGGGGACTGCGGACCGGCAGGGATGACGGCGGAAGCGGCAGGCTTGGGCGACCCAGGCGAACGCACGCGGTTCAGGGCGCCGCGCGCCTTCCTGAACTCGGACTTGAGGTCTGCGGCGAACGGCGGTTAGGACCAGCACAGCAATACGGTGGTGAGAGTACGCGGAGGCGACGCACCTTTGATGAGCTCGACCTCGTTCTTTCGCGCCTTCCGCCACTCCTGTTTGATCTCGGCACCCATGTCAGAGTCCGACGCCGACGTGTCCGAGGTGGATGACTCGGTGTCGACGGTGACCTCCTTCTCAGTGAGCCCTTGCTTCTCCGAGACGTATAGGTTCTTGGCCTTGAGCAGGACGCGGCCCTTAAGCTCCTCGGGACTCGGCAGGGTATCGATCTTCGGTCGGGAATCAGGGGGCGCCCACACGAGGTGCTCGCCGAAGACCTCCTTCATGATGATGACGAGTTGCTCTTGCTGAGGTACGGAGCAATGGATCTCGGCAGAGATGATGATGGGGTAGGGAGATGCCACGAAAGCATATTTCATGATTGCGGTGCAGGTGTCACGCACGGAGACCCTGGACGTGAGGGTCCGCCCATGGTACACGCAAGGCTCCGTTTCGCCATCGTAGATGTCAACTGAGATAGTGGTCAACGAAAAATCTACAGGTAGACCATAGATCGAACTCACGCTCAACGCTCCGGCATGAGTGCAGCAGCGCACGGATGTAACCCTCGACAGTACTTTCGCCGACCAGCTGATGGCCCACCAGGTAGGTGTTGTGTGACGAGGAGATGTAATACTCCGGCAGCGGCCGCGTCATGTCATGGTAGATCCGTCCGTGCTGGTCCGCGAAGACCGAGTTGTCCGCAGAAAGCAGGAACGTCGTGAAACCGCTCAAGGTCATCTTCGCTGTTTCAACCGTCAGTGGAGCAACAGTGGAGACTGTGCTCGCCGATGGCGGAGGAGACGTGAGACCCGTAGACGACGAGGACTCCGATGCCTGCTTCGAGAGCGAGACAGACTGCATGGCGAGGTCCAGCGAGGTTTGAGGCGGCGAGCCAGGTGCTTTCTCTCCTGGCGGAGGGGCAGCGTAACGCAAGAAGAGATGCTCGAGCTCCGGCCCACTGAGAGAAGACTGCAGGGTTATCAACACACTGCACGGTGCACAATGCATAGGAGAACGTCACACCTTCTGGGATTGGCGCATAAACTGCTCGAACGCAGCGAAGGGCATCTCAGACTCTCCACCGGTTACCTTCTTGAACAGCCTGTCAAGCTCGGGGCGTGCCTTGAGGGATTTGACGAAGCGCTTGAAGTCAGCGAAGTCCAGGTACCCGCGGTTCTGACTGTCGGCTTGCTGCAGGCGACGTCAGCTTCAGCGCAAGTGCTCCGTGAGCCAAGTCCGCACCTTGAACCGCCGCAGCAGATCCTCCTTCGAGGGATTGATGTTCAGCCTGCGGCAGAGGCGTTCGACGTCATCAAAGTCGAGGCGCTGGTCGTGCTCGTCGTCCGCGCCCTTCCAGAACTGCTTCTCCCAGACGGCCTGGCGCATGTCTGCGCTCCCGAGCCCGCTCATGAGCTGCTGGCGGATCGTGTACAGCCGGCGGAGGGTGACGTCCCACATCTGGAAGATCTCGCGCGTCGCCGCGATGAGGTGCAGCGTCTTGTACCCGCCGTCGAGCACGTAGACGATCGTGAGCCACTTGTCCTCGTACTCCTGCGCGAGCTGGAACTGCTCGCGGTACAGCCGTGCGTCCTGGCCCTCGCGCAGCTCCTTGATGTTCTCGATCGGAACTGGCCGCCGCGCATGAGCACGGGGGGCACTGGGGGGAAGATAGGGGACACTCACTGAATCGCAGCTTCTTCGACTCCCATATAATCTGGCCCTGGTCGGGGTCGAGTCTGAACACGTACCGCTTCTGCTTCTTTGCGGACACCTTGAGCATCGGCACGCCCTGCTGGAGCAGCTGCGGGATGATAACGTCCGTGCCCGACGCGGTCTGCGCAACCGGCGCCGGCTGCTGCGCCTGTTGCTCCTCCTGCTGGTGCTGCTGCTCGGTGATGGGGGACTCTGGGAGGGACGCCATCCTGGTGAGCGGACGAAGACGCAGATGGGAGGAGGAACGAGGAGAGCCAGGGTCGACGTCAACTGCAGGCAGGCTCTCGGCGGGGGCGTGATTGACTCGTGGCCGCGTGGAGAGCACCTCAGATTGGGCGCGGCGATGGCTCCTCCGTCTCTGCACCCACAGCACCGGCGAGAGCGTGAACGTCGTCGTCTCGGCGGCAGCAGCTCGGCCTCTGAGATGAGCGGCGGGCTGCGGGCGGTGGGCGCGGGCGTCGAGGGGGATCGCTTGAAGCTCGCGCGCCGCGCGACGGTCGTCCCGACGTCCTTCAGCGTCCGCCGTATCGACCCTCCCAGCCCGCTCCCGCCGTCGGTGCGTCGTCGCCGGAGCGGCTTGTAGTCCGAGTCGGGGTCCGAGGCGAGGATGGTGTCTGCGATCGCGGGCACGGGCTCGCCCTTTGTCGTGAGGAGGTTCGCGGCGCGGTGCAGCATGCGCGGGCGGTGGTGTTCCTTCGCCATGGCGGAGACTGAGAGCGTGATTATGAACTAGCCATGCAGAAGTAGAGTAGGTCGTCGTGAAACAGGTATCAAAATGAGTCAAGCGAGGTATATGTCGACGGGCGGAGGCGAGTTGCGGGCGTTGGTCGCGCAGCAATATACTTATACCATCTCTGCTAGTAGCACTTTACTACAATTTGCCGTAAGCTACACACAGGCTACACATCAGCTAGTCAGTGCTCGGTCCCGGACGCGTTGTTCACCCCGGTTGCTATTGGAATAGTGTCTAATTCCCATGTCGCGAGTATACGTAGTACAGAGGGTGTTCGAGCGTACTATAGAGTACTGCTTTGTACCGCACCTCCATGGCCAGGTACTGCCCCGTACCCGCCACAACCCTCCGACGCCGACATTGATTTCGACACTGCATCCGCCAAGCAGAAGCAGAAGCAGAAGGCCGGAAGCCTCACGCCTCAGGGCCTCAGGTGTCGACCGTGCCGTCTCTGTACGGCAGTTCTTCGCCTAGTCTAACTTCTTCGGGCACGTGTGGCCGACAACAGTCGGAAGCCAGCATTCCACCAAGACGCCAAACGTCCAGGACCATGGACAAGACTGCGCCGTGCGGACAGGACACTCACACCAAGGAATGCGGGAAAGGTCCTTGACCACCCGATGACCACCACATTGTGGCCAAGAAGGACAGACTGCAGAGCCTCTGCTGTATATGGTACC